CTCTAATGCATTCCAGTGGAGTGGAATGTTGATGGTTCAAGTAAATTAGAATTTCATCCACAGGCTGACAAGAGCATTTCTCTACAATATATTACGAATGAGAAGATTGTCTAAATTCATAATTAAGTTTTCAAAACATTGGGAGAGTGGCGAGATTTATCAGAGGTTTCCTTTATTTCATGACACAACTTTCATCCATATATGCAGTCCAGTGTACTCTAACTATATGTCTTTTCTTAGGATTTACTTGTTGTTATTGGAAAGTCAGATTTACAGAGAAAAAGACAAAAATCTTCCATCTGCTGATTCACTCCCCAGCTTGGGCCAGAGCTTAACTGACTCGAAACCAGCAGCCAGGAGCTTCTTCAGGGTTTCCCACGCAGGTGCAGGGTCCCAAGGCTTTGGGTCATCCTTGACTGCTTTCCCAGGTCACAAACAGGGAGCTGGATGGGGAGCAGGCTGAACATGAATCGGTTCCCATACGGGATCCTGGCACATGCAAGGTGAGGACTTTAGCCACTAGTCTACTGTACTGGGCTCTTAACTGTAATTTTTTTTATGTTGTTGTCTAAATTTTTATTCTTTAGTACATTCCTCATATAGGACATAGGAGATGAAAAATCACCCATTGCAGTATACCTGTGGGTACACTGATATTTGAATGCTGAAAAAAAAGTGAGCAAAGAAAAAAAAAAATCCTATATTCCTTTTTGCCATTACATAATAGTGTTGTTTATTTTCATTTTTTTTTTTAGTGATCCATTCATATTGTGCTTTAGCATAGCCACATAAAAAATCCTAATTCCTGCTGCAAAACTGAGAATGCTGAACAACGATATTTGTAGGCTAAAAATTCTTTTATGGAACTCATTAGCAGGATCACACACCAAAATATTTATGGTGTTGTAAAACTGTTATAAGCAAGCGAGACACTCAGCGCCGCTCAGGGTTGGGCCTTGATCTACTTTTATGGCCTTCACATTCTCTCTGATTGTATAACGGTAGCAGATAATGCTATTCCAAGAAAGTTCCAAGTGTTACCAAGGTTTGTGGAAAGTTCAAGTAATAGTCTTTGAAATGGAGACTGTGGAGAAGTGTGATAATTACAGCATATTGTATCTAGGTTATCCAATACGTTTAAAAGTGTCTAAGATTTGAGAAAGTGTATTTCTGTACAAGTCATAAAACTCTCCTGAAAATTGGCCTTCCTTTTTGTTAATATCTGTCTACTCTAGTGGACACACTTGTCTTTTTGTTTAACATCGTTTGGCATTTGTTTTTAAACAATACCCACAAATAGTGATACTTTCTGTTTTCAGTGATGGTTTTCAAATGCAATCACTGCATTTCTTCTCTCCAAGACGCCAGGCAGTGAGTGGGTTATTAATAAGAGCTATGTGACTGCTAGACAAGACAGTAAGGGAAAAAACCAGGTTGTCTCATGGGACTGCACAGCCGAAATGCTTTCAAACTAGACACCAGCTCCTGTAAATGTCAGAAAAATGAAAATGTTACATGCATTTCTTTATTTGAAAGATACAGCTAAAGAGAGGTATGTAGAGAGAGAGAAAGAGAGAGAGAGAAACCATCGGACTTGTGCCAGGTTGAGGCCAGGAGCCTGGCACTCCACCGGAGTTTCCCATGGGAGTGGCAGGGATGCAGCCCTTCAGCCGCCATCAGTTCCGTCCCCTGATGCATTAGCAGGGAGCCACGGGAAGTGGAGAGACTGCAGGTTGAACAGGTACTCTGATCTCAGAGGCTGCTATTGCAAGCAATACCCTAACAGGCCGTACCATGACTCCTGCCCATCAGCGTTTATTTCTTTAAGTGAAAAGTTTACATTCTTCCCAGAATGTTTCTAGCCTTTCTTAAAGATTTATTTTAATTTTTATTGGAAAGTCACATTTACACAAAGAAGGAGAGACAGAAAGATCTTCCGTCTACTGGTTTACTGTCCAAGGGCTTCTTCCAGGTCTTCCATGCGGGTGCAGGATCCCAAGGCTTTGGGCTGTCCTCAAATACTTTCCCAGGCCACAAGCAGGGAACTGGAAGGAAAGTGGGGCTGCTGGGACACAAACCAGCATCCATAAGCGATCCTGGCACATGCAAGGCAAGGACTTTAGCCGCTAGGCTACCTCACTGGGCCCTTTTGCCTTTGTAAGATCCAGCTTCCTGTTCTTATCTGTTTCTTTGATTCTTTCTCTTGTGTAAATTCAAATATATCTTTTTTTTTTTTAAGTCCAACTTAGGAATTTCTGCTCTGTTTTATCTATAGATCTACTTTTAATTTCAAGGATCCCTTAAGATTCTCTGTTGAATTAGAGACTAACCAAGCTGGAGGTTTCCCTGGGGCAGGTGGAAGACATAGTAACATCAACGTGTTTTCTTTTGCACTTGCATAAGTCTCTACGGAAAAGGGGGAACATATCTCATTTACTAGTTGAATCTCCCTCCTAGAGAAGAATTAACTGTGACACTTCAGTCCATCAGTCAAACTGTCTGGACAGTACGTGACACTTCAGTCCATCAGTCAAACTGCCTTAGTAGAATGTGAGCTCTGTGATGACAAGAACCATATCAACGGGCCTGGCACAGCAGCCTAGTGGCTAAAGCCATCTTCTTGCACTTGCTGGGATCCCATATGGGTACCAGTTTTTGCCCCACTTCCCATTCAGCTCCCCGCTTGTGGCTTGGGAAAACAGTCAAGGTTAACCCAAAGCCTTGGGACCCTACACCTGCGTGAGAGACCCGAAAGAGGCTCCTGGCTCCTGACTTCAGATCGGCACAGCTCTGGCTATTGTGCCCACTTGTAGAGTGAATTATTGCATCGAAGATCTTCCTCTCTGTCTCTCCTCCTCTCTGTGTATCTGACTTTTCAATAAAAATAAAATGTCTAAAAAATTAATCTACAACCAACCGTCTACAAAGCAAATCAATTATAAGGTGCTTAATATTTTCAGATTTTCCTATTATTCTATTTTTTTAGTATAACTTAACCTCACATTAGAGGCATTGCTCAAGTTTTAGATAATTGCAAAAGTTGAACAGCAGGGGGCAGAGGATTACAAAATCTGCTTCTTGGAGCATTATGGCATTCAATTACTGTCAAGTTGTTTTGAAAAATTGGAAGCTGATTTTGCACTGATCAGTTTGAGATGTAATAGTTTTAAAACAAGAAATGCCAAAGTGTTAAAATCAAGACCTGGATACTTTAAGAATGCCTGTATATCTTATTTAAATTTATTATACTTTTTATTTCAACCTACTTAAATTTGTTACACTTAGATGGATAGCATTCTGCACTTGAAAAAATCGAATTGTCCATCTAAGTATGCACATGAATTATAAATATTTTTCATAAGTGATAATGTAATTATTAACTGACTAAAATAAATTTGTGGTGGTGGTATGTAGTAATAAATATATAAATTCTCTATATATCGGTGTAGTGACTTGCGTAATGACCATCAAAATGAAATTATTGCTGGAAATTTAAGAATTACAGGATATCAGAGCCCAGCAGGGCGATTTTCTCTGCCTTCCTTATCTAAAAACGTGGAAATTGGGAATCAGTGGTGAGGACGGAGGTGTGATCCCCACGTCACAGTCGCACTGGAATGTAGCGTGGTGGAATAACAGCAGCTTCTCCTTTCACACTGAGGGCCTCCGCGATCTGTCCCCTGGACACACTGCCTTGAACTTCAACTTCCTTTACGTTGTTTAAACCACGAGAGCCAGTTTGGAAAGGCGTGTCTGAGGAGGCTGAGGGAATTGCCAGGACTTATTCCCAGGAAAGCCTTGTGGAGAGCCTCACAGATCCCACAGGGAGAATCCCAATCCACATCTTCCTCTATCAAATCCTTTCCCATCAGCTTCCCGTTCCCAACCTCATCTTTTGTTCCCATTGGTTCGCGTGGTCCATGCTCCGACACGGTTTACAGTGACTCCCCCACATCAGAATGCGACGGGGTCTCTGCTTGCTGCATCAGTTTCTGTCGGAGACTGCAGCCTCGTGGCCTTTTTAGATCAGCTTTCATCTTCTGACCTCTTCATCCTGTGGGGCATCTCCCGATTTGTATCCGTATAAAGAAGGGGCTTACAGGTTTCTGCCACGGTTGGGTCAGCAGTGAAGGCTTGGAGACCCAGAGGCACACGCCTCTGCAAGTCCGCATCAGAGAGTGCGATACAAAAGTGGGTTTCCCATGCAACGTATGCAAAGATTCTATCTTGATCTTCTAGGCGGCTTGAGCTGTTACCGTCTTATTTTAGCTTGCCCTGGATCCTGGCTACAGCACATGAAGCCAAAGTTCCCGATTTTGGAACTTCTTCAAGGGGTGTTTTGCTTGCTTGTTTGTTTGTTTATCGATTGAGTCAGATGAAGTAGAAGTCAGTGTTTCTATGGGGCTCAGCGTTCACTGAAGACGGCAATGGGGAAAAAAATCAGAATTACTTTTCACGTGAACCGACAGGCCCCGGCGAGAGAATCTTCTAACTGCCTATAATACTTAGCCGCCTGACTTCTGCACAGCAGTCGGAAATCAATTTTGCTGCATTTGGTTCTGGCTGAAGCGTCTCCCCCGGCAGCTGCAGCAACCGCACCAAGCAACCGCCCCGCGGGGTGCGCAGCGCTGTCCTCGGTGCTGAAAGGAGGCGCTGGGCACCGGGGCTCCCGGGGTGGGGGGACAGGCCTTGCACCCCGAGAGCCGCGGGGCTCGGAGCTGCACCTGCTGCGCTCGGTTCTCGCCACCGAGGCCGGGCGGTGCTCGGTGCCGGGGAGGGGTGCGCGCGCCCCTAGCCGTCTGCTCCGAGTGGCGCACGCGCACCCGGGGCGGCCTGTCGGTCTCTGGGACTCGCCTGTGTGTGCGCGCGCGCCTGCGCCTGTCGGTGAGGGTGTGTGCCTGTGTGTGTGCGTGTGTGTGTGTGTGTGTGTGGTCTGTGTATATGTGTGTGTGTGTGCGGGTGTATGTCTTCACGAGCGCGCGCGCGCGCGCCGGCGCGTGTGAGAGAGAGAGGAGAGGAGAGGAGAGGGAGAAGAAAGCGCGAGAGAGGGTGAGAGTGTGTGAGCGCATGGGAGGGTGCTGAATATTCCGACACACTGGGACCACGGCGGCAGCTCCGCGGAAAACTGCATTTGGCCAGTCCTCCGGACTTGGGGCACAGGGCATCAGCAGCCTACGGCAGGACCCGAGAATCAGGGATTCTTCTGCCTGCACTTGGGGTTTTTTTTTTTTTAGCAGCTTGGTGCTTCGCTGCTGTCTCAAAAATGCAGAGGATCTAATTTGCTGAGGACAACGGCCACAGAAAGAAGAGGAGGAAAAGGAAAATCGAAGGGGTATTTTGTGGATGCTCCACTTTTCTTGGAAATGCAAAAGATTATGCATATTTCTGCCCTCCTTTCTCCAGTTTTATGGGGACTGATTTTTGGTGTCTCTTCCAACAGCATACAGATAGGTGAGTACCCTTTGTGCTGCGCTTTTGAATTGTACCTGATTTGGTGGTCATCTGTGTTCACAATGGGCGAATTAATTCATGTCATGTACACTTATGTCATGCCTTGACTGCATTCCAGATCTGAACTACCTAGAATGTACATGTATCTTATACCTGCTCCCCTCCCCGGGATGCAATAAGGGAAAATGAATCTGGCTTTGACACAATACAAGAAAAGGTCTTCTCGCTTCTGACCTCCAAAATTTAGGAATTGTGCCTTTCCCACTTGGCTTAGATTGCCTAGGGTTCCATAAGCACAGTTTGCGATCAAGAGCAAAGGCGAAATGTTTCTGGCCATCTGCCTTTCCCTCCTAGCTCCCCAGCGTCCTGACCCCTGGGCTACCTTTGGGTTGCATTGCCTCGGCCTGGTAGCAGCGCGAATTCCCGGGCATTGGGCACCAGCGGGCTACCCTCCTCCGCCTCCCGAGAACTGACACTGCTCTCCTTGTGTTTGTTGTTGGTTATTTTTTTTTCCAGGGGGGCTGTTTCCGAGGGGCGCTGATCAAGAATACAGTGCATTTCGGGTAGGGATGGTTCAGTTTTCCACTTCGGAGTTCAGGCTGACACCCCACATCGACAATTTGGAGGTAGCCAACAGCTTTGCAGTCACCAACGCTTGTAAGTGATGAATATTCATGTCTTCCGGGTGCTGCACGCGGCCCCTCTAGTGAGTGTGCGTGCGGGGTGGTGTGTGCGTGTGTGTCCGTGTCGGTGTGTGTGGGGGTTTGAGCAAGTGCACACGCGCGTGCGTGGCACCGAAAAGAGAGAAGTGGCTGTGATCTCGGGGACCCCCGCTGGCTGGGGGTGGGGGCAGTCAGTGCTGGAGAGGAGGCGAGGAGGCGAGAGGCTGTGAAGAGTGTGCGCACTGGGGAGCGAGGGTGGGCGTTGGAGCCAGCAGAGGGGCTCCCACGGTGCAGGTCGTTCTGGCACATCTTGAGGGGAGCTCAGCCGCCCCCGCCGTCCTCAGTGCGTGCCCACGGACACTCTGCCCACAGGGAACACCCTGTTCCCCAGGGCTCCCTGCCGGGTTCCTTGGCACATGCCACTGAAGGCTGCCAGCCCCAAGCCACCTGACCCGCAGCTGCACCCTCTTGCGCCTGCGGTGCGAGGCAGGGATCCGCAGCTGCAACTCGGTTCACCCCGCGGCTCTCTTCGACGGGACGAGCTGATAAAATGATTGTGGAGTTGGGCACCGGCTGTTACATAACGCCCACCCGGGGGCGCGACGCGGAGCGAGGCTGACGTAGAGCCAGGCCGGGCCGGGTGGGGTGCAGAGGAGTGCAATGTGGTGGATGCATAAGGGGCCAGCGGAAGAACTGTCAGTGTCGCCTGCTTCATGAGCTTGAACCCGGGGGAGGGGAGGCATTCCGCCGCTGGCGTCCCGGACAGCTCGCGGGCCCCTGAGCGCTTTGTTCTCGGGTAGCGGGACCCCGCACCCCATGTCCCCCACAAGAGCAGGCAGGCGAAGGGAAGGGATCCAAAAGCGGGGGGATCTGCCGCGTTTGATAATCTGAAGAAGTCGCTGATCAGCCATTTTAGCCTTTGCAGTTCTCCATATTAGGCTTTCCTGGGCACTTGCGTGGAAGCTCTTTCCAGGTTTCCCATAAAGCAACAGAAAACCAGGCTGTGGGGGATTCGGAAGGGTTTGGTGGCGAGGCCAGCAGCCTGATCCCAGCTGCTGTGGTGCGCTCCGCCATCCTTGCCTGCTGGCTGGCTGGGCTGGACTGATTCGCTCAGACTCGGATGTTCGCAGTTATTATTTCATAGATAATAGGATTGCGGGATCTGCAGAATCTTGGTTACAGTGTGGGGGAACAAGGGGGAAATTCCTGCAGAAATAACCCAGATGCAGACCTCGCACCTACACAAACAACCCGGTGTCTCCCACTGCCTCAACTTCAATCACCCGGTCAGGTTGATGGTGCGCCAGCTTGGTGATAATGCTGGGGCATCATCAAGTCTTTTTGCGATTACAAGGCTTTCTTCAAATGCTCATGGAGAGAGACGAAGGGAGGGAGGGAGGGAGAGAGAGAAAAATTAAAATGGATTTGCAACTGTGAAACTGGTTCTAAATATCTGAAAATCTTAGTACACACAGATAAATAGAAAAGAATGGACTCAATTAAATTGTGAAGACTTTTATACTTTAACTATTTGCCTGCCAGATTTAGAGTGCTCACGTGTTGTCATGGGGCTTCCTTTTATTCTGTATTATAAGTTTGACCCGTGAATATGCTGAGTATCTATATGAGGTAGTGTCTCCTCCAGGAACGAGATGGGAAGTAACGTATTCTATGGCAGGACCGCGTGCCATAGGTAGATTCTAAACCTGAAGTGGAAGAATTGACAGCCGTTCTTTCTAAAAACAAGCAATTATACCAAAGCCCATGCTAGAGGATTACAGAGAAGTCATAGGAATATCCAGTGAACAAAATGAATATCCTTTGATTCCAGCGAGTGCTGAATCGAGCTATTGAGGCACACTGGAAGGCACACAGGTTGTAGTCACGTTTCGGTTTTCAGTGTTAGGTTTGTGTAAACCTGCAGAAGTCAACAGCAGAGAATGAAAGGAAGCTCCAGTGTTAGTTCTGCATCCTTTAAATCATGGTTTATCTCCGAACTCACCCTTGGTCTTCTTGACTTTTTGGTAAGGGGAGCCCATGATTCTTGCCTATCTAAAGTAGAAGCAATATTTTTTCAAGATGTTAACAACTGAGAGCAAAATGTCTTTTCCCGATTTCCATCCTGAAATCTACAAAATTTTCCTTTATCTGCCCTATTTAATGACGCCTATCAGCCAACAATGCTTCTGAGTTAAGGCATCAGAATCTCACGGTTAAATCTACACATTAAGAAAGTGGGGTTTTAAAATTTAAAATATAATTTCAAAAGAGCAAAGTGCATTGGTTCATGAATTTCCTTTTCTTCCTGCGTTGGAGGAAATTCTTTGAAAATGTCAAAGTTGACGTTGATGGAAGAATCCAGAGAGAGCCACAAAACGGGTTAACGAAGTCATTCTGTTACGAATTCAGTGAAATGACTATGTGTGCGGCGCAGTGGGATAATGAAAGTACCTGTTTGTTCCATTTGTTTCCATGGGCACGTGAAGAACTCAAGAAAGATTTCCAGTTTCTTCCTTCATCCCTTCCCTCACCCTCACCACGCTGCATTTTCTTCTTCTTGTCTTCCCTGTTTTTAGTGGGAAATGGTGTGAATATTGCTCTGAGAAGCTTGTTCGGAAGTAAGGCCTTATGACGAGGGATGACAAAGCCTAAAATCAGAAAAAAAGAAAAAATTAAGACTAGCACGTGGCGTGGCCCGCGGTTAAAGCCGGTGGCCTCGAGGGCTCATTCACTCACTCATCCGCTCGGTCTTTTGGTTGTTAGAGGATACATGAGCAGCCCGGCTGTGGTGGTTCAGCTTTTCTCCCCCTTTCCCTTGGTGATCTCCTGAGCGCTTCTCAGAGGTTTGTAGATCTGGATGGCTTCAGTGCGCCTTGGAGGCCGTGGCCCCGGCCAAGTACTTCTCCACCCAGAGTTTCGAGTGTTCTCCTAGTTCTTGAACATAAGCAATCTATTCCAGTAACTAAGGGGCTCTGCATTTTTGTGAAGACAGTGGATTCAGTGTTGACATCTGGGTATACACTATCAGTAGCAGAGTTTAGGAAAATATACTAGGTGTTTCTGTATGCTAATACCATGGACAAGCATCAACACATTCAAACTTTTTTAAAAGGTGAAACTGTATGAAAGGATTGTAAATGGGAATATTTGATCCCATAGAGTTTGGAACTTGAAAATATGAAATACTTAACCTTCAAAAAATATTTCCTTTGTACTTCTGAATATTGATAAATGACCATCAGTCTGTTTAAAAATAATTCCATCTTTTATGGTTTAATGCTACAATTCAACAAACCTGTTTTAAAAATATTACCTCTACAGAAAAAGCAAATAGAAATCTGTTTTTCCACTAAGCCAGCAGATGGAGATGTTGGAAAAAACACTGTCTCATAAAACTGTTGCATTCCCTGAGTATGTTTTAACACATGGTAAACACATTCAGAGAAATTGAAATATATATATATATAGTATATACATGTTTTAATTAAAAATAGGTTCCATAATTATACACCTAAGATACAACTAAGATCTTATTTTTAGATACATTATCTTAAATATTCTTATAAACTTGGCTCAAAAAGACATTCAGAAACAGCTAGGAATGTAAATCTACTCGAAAGCTAGAGAATTTTAAGATTATAGATTTTCAGCATTTAATCTTGTTACCTTAGATCTCATTTTTGAGGTATGTTTCCCAAGACTGGATTTTAGGGACCAATTATTTAAATTGTGTATATGCATTCATCAAATTAATTGATGTTTACCCAGCTTTTATTACAATTTACACAGGAGTAATTACTTGTGTATATATGTGTGTGTGGTTTAGACTACGCAATGTGTTTATAAATTGATTTGGTTCCTATCCTTTTTAAATTCATTTTTGTTGAATTATTTACTAACACTGGAGTAACTGATTAAAATATATGCAAACATTTCATCGACGTATAGTCAACTTGGACATTATTAAATAATTCGAATACAGGGTATAACGAAAACCATGCGCACATATGCTAGGACCTAACATTTTCCAGGTTGGTGTGGCAAATACTCAGTTACATGTAATTAGAGATTTTTGAAGACAGGAACACATCAGAATCATTAATTTATTATGGAATTATTGGTTAAATTTTCAGCCAGTTGTCATATGAGAATATCAAAAACATGATAGAGTGTACTAAACAGTAATACAGAAAGAATGGCATTCCTTGAGGTATTCTAATTGGTGATGACAGAAATCAAGTAATTTTGAACATGACTGTATGAACCTGGCGAAGCTGGCAGTTGGAGGAAGCCTCCTCATGATGTTTCTGTTTGAGGCCTCACAAAGTTCACCCTGGTGACTCGAGGGCCAGGTGCAGCTCCTCCTCATGTCAAGTCTTCCAGTGCCAGCACGGCTGTGCTGTGACATGGGCACAAACAGGTGCTGATTCATGCCCACGTCTTTGCTAACTTTGGAGCATCTTAGGGCCATGATCGCTTCAAGGAAGGTTGGAAAAGAGCAGTTGTGTCCTAAGTATTCCCGTATGTGTCGTGGTATAGTTGCATTTTTCAGAAAATGTGTTTTATTTTTAATCTCCTTTTCCTCCCATTTCTGCGTTTTTTTTAAGTCAATAAAAGAACTTAATCTGCAGAGCAAATGCTATTAAAGGAAATAAAATCTAAATTGCACTAGAAAAGGATCCTTTTAAGATTCTTTTTTTAAAGTGAGCAGAGGGCACGTGGCACTAAAAGCTAAAACCTCATATTAGAGTTAAACATTTCATTATGAGCTTAATGGCCACTGGGTAATTTATATTTCCTTTTTTCCCCTTAGTTTTATAGAAGCTTCATCATATTTCATTAAAATGGTAACTCTTTTATCATGGCAATTTTTAGTCAAGAGTCCTGTGGTTTTTATCTAATGGATCATATAACTGCCCAAATTCTTATACACTATTCCTTTCCACATTATGGAAAAATGTGTGGTGGACTTCAGAATCGAAATTGCACAACCCA